AAACGGAAATCCTAATCCCATAAGCAGTCACTTCTCATTCTTTTCTCTCTCCAGGCCCTGGAAACCCCTAATCTGATTTTAGCCAATGATTTCATTCTGGATATTTCATATAAATGGAATCACGTACATGTGGCCTTTTGTGCTTAGCTTCTTTCACTTAGCAGAATGTTTTTAAGTTATATCTTTGTTGTAGCATATGTCAGCACTTCATTGTCTTTTTATGGCCAATCAATATTCTATTATAAGGATAAATCATTTTTGTTTTATGTCAGTTGGTGGACATTTGGGTTGTTTCCATAGTTTGGCTATTGTCAATAGTGCTGCTGTGAACATTCTTGTAAAATATTTGTTTGAACATCTATTTTCAATTCTTTTAGGATATACACCAAGAAGTGGAATTTTTGAATCATGTGGTAATTCTATACTTAATTTTTTTCCCCATAGTGACTACAGCAATTCACATTTCCATCAGCAGTATACGAGGGCCCCATTTTTGGACATTCTCTCCAACACTGGTTTTTAAAGCCATCTTACTAGGTGCCAAATGGTTTCTAAATGAATTTTTAATTTATATTTCTCTAATAACTAATGATGTTAAGCATATTTTTTATGGGCACGATGACTTTTTGTACATCTTTAAAGACCTGTCTATTCAATTCTTTGCCCATTTTTGTTGATTGAGTTGTTTGTCTTTACTTTGTTAAATTGTAAGATTTCTTTATTCTGGTGACTATTATCAGATGTACAATTTTCAAATTATCTCCCAATCTTTGTCTTAACACTCTCTTGATAGTGTCATTTGATTCACAAAAGTCTTTAATTCTGATGAAGTTCAATTTATGTATGTTTCTTTTATTGCTTTGCTTTTATTGTCCAATATAAGAAATCATTGCCAAATTTGAACTCATGAAGACTTACCCCTATGTTTTATTCTAAGAGTTTTATTTTTTCAGTTAATATATTTAGGCCTTTGATCCATTTTGACTTACTTTTTGTAAATGGCATGAGTTACGTGTCCAACATCATTCTTTGTTGTTGTTGTTATTAATCCTCACCCATTGATTTTTAGGGAGAGTGGAAGAGAGAGGGAAAGACAGAGAGAAACATCAATATGAGACGTACTGATTGGTCACCTCCTGCACACGCCACCTATCAGAGCCTGGGCCAGGAAGAAGCCTGCAACCAAGGTACATGCCCTTGAGCAGAATCAAACCTGGGACTCTTTGGTCTGCAGGCCAATGCTCTATCCACTGAGCTAAACCAGCTAGGGCCAACATTATTCTTTTTATGTGGATACACAGGTGCCCTAGCACCATTTTGATGATTCTATTCTTTTCCCCATTGAAAGGTCATGGCACCCTTGTCAAAAATCAATTGACCATAAATGGATACTATTCTTTTCCCCATTGAAAGGTCATGAAACCCTTGTCAAAAATCAATTGACCATAAGCGCATGGATTTATTTCTCAAGTCACAATCTTATTCCATTCACTGAAAGCGTATTGCTTTGCCAGTATACTTTTTTTTTTTTTTGAATGCTGTAGCTTTGTAATAACATGGATTTATTTCTCAAGTCCCAATCTTATTCCATTCACTGAAAACCTATTGCTTTGCCAGTATACTTTTTTTTTTTTGAATGCTGTAGCTTTGTAATAAGCTTTGAAATAAGGAAGTGCTGGTGCTCCAACTTTATTTTTCATTTTCAAGGTTGTTTTGTTATCCAGGGCCCCTTGATATTCCATATGAACTTTCACTTTTCTGCAGAAAAGGACATTGGAATTACGATAAGGATTGCATTGAGTATATAGATCACTTTAGGAAGAGTTGTCAACAGCATTGAATCTTCTAATCCATGAATACAGGATGATTTTCCATTTATTTAGGCCTTTTAAAATTTCCTTCAGCCGTGTTTTGTAGCTTTTAGTGTTCAAAACTTGCACTTCCTTGGTTAACTTTATTCCCAAATATCTTATTATTTTTTTATTATTTTTGATGCTGTTGTAAATAAAATTGTTTTTTTCAATTTTCAATTGGGCAGAGCTGCAAAGTCCACCCTAAGAGGCCCGCCACAAGAAGAGCTATATATCAAAACCTCCCCACATTCTGGTATGTAGAAATACAACTAATTTCTGTATGTTGATCTTGTATTGTGTAATTTTGTTGAATTTTTTTATTAGCTCTAATAGCTTTTTGTGTATTCTTTATAATTTTTTTATTATTCCTCACCTGAGAATATTTTTTTCCATTAATTTTTAGAGTGAATGGAAGGGAGGGAGAGAAACATTGATGTGAGAGAGATACATTGATTGGTTGCCTCCTACACATGCCTGATCAGGGGTGGGAGCAAACCACAACCCAGGTACGTGTCCTTGATCCAGAATCAAACAAACAGTAATCTTACTTCCCCATTCTAACTGAATTGGGCAGAGCTGCAAAGTCCACCCTAAGAGGCCCGCCACAAGAAGAGCTATATATCAAAACCTCCCCACATTGTCAGTTCAGGCTTTGGATCAAAGTCCCCTGAACTAGCAGCACTGCATAACAAAGATTTTACTTTCCGGATTCCTCTGGTGCTGGCTCTCCCTTCTCCTGGGTCATTCGCCACAAGAGAAACACATTGATTGGTTGCCTCCTACAGGCACCCTGACCTGGGGCCCAGATTGAGCCTGCAACTGAGGTATGTACCCTTGACGAAAAATAAGGGGGCAACTTTTGGAGCTTACAACTGAGTTCAGTATCTAGTTAAACAGTAATCTTACTTCCCCATTCTAACTGAATTGGGCAGAGCTGCAAAGTCCACCCTAAGAGGCCCGCCACAAGAAGAGCTATATATCAAAACCTCCCCACATTGTCAGTTCAGGCTTTGGATCAAAGTCCCCTGAACTAGCAGCACTGCATAACAAAGATTTTACTTTCCGGATTCCTCTGGTGCTGATTCTCTTATCTTGAACAAACCTGGTTTCCTGGGCTAAATCACACTTGGTCATGCTGCATAATCTTTTTTAATATGCTGTTGGATTTGTTTTGCTAGTATTTTGTTGAGAACTTTTGATTTATATTCATAGAGATTTTTTTTCTGTAGTTTTCTTACTAAAATATGGTAAAAGAACTTATATGCATATCCTATGGGCACAGACAACAGTGTGGTGAAAGCCTGGGGTGGGACGGGGGCAGGGTGGAGGGGGCAAAGGGAGGAAAATGAGGGTCATCTGTAATGCTGTCAACAATAAAAAATAAATTTAAAAATATACAACCTGCAACATAACAATAAACCCCACTGTGCACGTGAAATGACTTTTTAAATTGGCCATATATTTTCTGGCAGAATGAGCCACATTCCGTATTTTAATATTATTGCCTCAGGTTAGCCAGAGGTGACAAATTAAGGATTTCTCAGAACTTCACTGGAACCATGCATAGTCATTTACATATGTGTGGCTTTCTAGTTTAGTAATATTTCAGAGCTTGGAAAAACTCTGTGTGGTCAATTCATTCCTCAATTTCGCCTTTTAAGTTTTTTTGGTCAGTCTCTTGTTAGCTTCAAAGAAGCTACAATGTTAAACAATTTCTATTGATTGTTTTGACTAATAGCCCAGGGAAAAGGTCATTCACAGTGAGTGAGTTTGAGTCAGGTCAAATAAAGATGCACCCCGTGGACAAAAGAAAGGCCATATGCTAACCTGACTACCTCTGGGAAGGCCTGCATGGCAGC